AAGTATGTCAAACATTTGAGAAATAAAAAGGGCTGTGATGGTGTAGACACATATCCAGATTATCTGGATTGTAAGCGATATTATATTACTGTGAAAAAGTCAGATGAAATTTAACTCGAACATATGTATTGCAATAGTGATAAGCTATTCGACGGCGAAAGTCTTAAATGTATTAACAATGATGAAATAAAATTCAATGAAAAAATTCTCGTAACTAAACCAATAAACTAATGTTAATCTAATTTTTTTTAACTACAATCGCTAGTCACAAACGCAACAAAAATTTTTTTCTCCATTTCGCAATTATTATGCATTCAAGATTAGGAGTAGTTCAGCAATTCATTGCAGACCGAATAACGAGCTATTCAACCTAATTGAATATTTTAATAGTCGTGTGTTGCCTGTGGTTTGCTTAAAAATCTTTAAAGTGAGTAATTTTTTTTTTGTAATTTTTGTATTTTTTTAATATAATTTTTTTTATCACCATAAATATTATATGATATGGTGATGTCTTGTGTTCCGTGGTTCAAACATCGACTCAGATCACTACCTTGTCGCAGCCAAGGTACGCATGCGGCTTAGTACCGCCAACAATGTACGCTCCAATGTTCAGAAAAAACTAGACGTTAATAAGCTGCGATCACGAAAAACAGCCGAAGTCTTCGCCGCTCAGCTCTCTAGCCGATTAAACAACCAATCCTCCCGTCCCGATAATGCCGGTAGACAGTGGGGACATATCTCTCACTCCCTACGCACAACAGCGGAAGATGTCCTTGGTTTCCAACGTCCCCCACGGCGAAACCAATGGTATGACGAAGAGTGTCGCCAAGCTACTGCTGCGAAGAACGCGGCCTATAAAAGGACTCTGCAGTCAGCAGCAACGCGAACCGTGCATGAACAATATCGGGAGATGAGGAAGGTAGAGAGGTGCCTATTCAGATGGAAGAAACGAGATCAAGAAAGGCGCGAGCGAGAAGAAATCGAGGTGTGTAGAAATAGGAATGATGCCCGTAAATTTTATCAAAAAGTCAACCGTCTGACTCAAGGCTTTAAGCCTGGTGCATCAACCTGTAAGGACGAAAATGGTAATCTGGTTACAGATACGCCGAATATACTGAAAGTATGGAAGGAGCATTTCTCCAAACTACTATCTGGCGATGATAACATCAACTCTGCCATTGAAGAAATGTCCTCTGTATCCCCAATCGAAAATGATGACGTTGAAATTCCACCACCTAGCCATAACGAAGTGCGTGTTGCTATACAGCGACTTAAGAACAACAAAGCGGCAGGCACAGATGGCCTGCCTGCTGAATTGTTCAAGGCCGGCGGCGATATGCTGATAGGGTGCATGCATCAGCTTATCTGCAGAATATGGTTAGATGAAAGTATGCCCAGCGATTGGAATCTCAGTAGCCTTTGTCCTGTCTTGAAAAAAGGTGACCCGACGATTTGCGCCAACTATCGCGGGATTAGCCTGATACCTGTCGCGTACAAGGTTCTTTCAACTGTACTGTGTGAAAGGTTGAAGCCACATGCCAACTCACTGATTGGACCTTATCAGTGCGGCTTTCGACCTGGTCGCTCCACCATTGATCAGATATTCACACTGCGACAAATCCTGAAAAAGCCCACGAACATAACATCGACACTCATCACCTTTTTGTCGATTATAAAGCAGTTTTCGATAGCCCCATTAGGGATCGCGTTTACGCCGCAATGTCTGAGCTCGGTATCCCTGCAAAATTAATACGACTTTGCAGAATGACGCTAAGTAATACCCGTAGCTCCGTCAAGGTAGGATCGAGTCTCTCTGAACCTTTTGGTACCGTGCGAGGCTTCAGACAAGGTGATTCATTATCATGTGACCTCTTTAATTTCGTTATGGAAGTGATCATGCGCATGGCAGGTGTTCATCGTAATGGAACAATATTCTACAAATGTGTCCAGCTCCTTGCTTACGCCGACGACATTGACATCAATCTGCAAGAATGGGTTTAGCGGTGAATGAGGGAAAAACGAAGTATATGTCGGCTACTGGTAGAAATGTGCGTCGCTCGGACACCGGGCAAGTGGCTGGCGACTATACTTTCGAATCTGTTAAGGATTTCATCTACCTTGGCACGGCCGTAACAAATACAAATGATGTCAGTCTGGAGATCAGACGAAGAATCACCATTGCTAATAGGTACTACTATGGGCTCAGTAGGCAATTGGGATGTAGAGCTCTCTCTCGACAAACGAAACTTACGCTCTATAGGTCGCTCATCCTCCCTGTGCTTCTGTATGGCGCAGAAGCATGGACGTTATCCCAGAATGATGAAGCAGCACTGGGAGTGTTCGAGAGAAAAGTTCTTCGTAAGATCTTTGGTCCTCTACGAGTTGGCGACGACTACCGCATTAGAATGAACCACGAGCTGTACGAGCTTTATCACGACATTGACGTAATTCAGCGCATTAACATCCAGCGGCTTCGCTGGCTTGGTCATGTCGTGAGAATGGATGAAGACGCTCCGGCGAAAAAGGTGTTTGAAGCAGTAGTTGGCGGAAGAAGACGTAGAGGTAGACCGTGTCTCCGGTGGAGTGATCAAGTTGAGGGGGCACTAACTGAACTTGATATACGAGACTGGAGAAGGCGCGCATGCAGCAGAGGCGCCTGGGGAGACATGCTGCGTCAGGCCGAAACTCGGTAACGGGTTGTTATGGCCACATAAGTAAGTAAAGTAAGATGTCTTGTGTATTATAAGTAATTTGACGGATATTTATTTATAATATTTTTTGTTTGCAGTTATGTATACTATGGTGCCATTAATTTTCAAAAGTCGGAAAATTTCTCGAAAAACTTTGTATGACTGAATTGTTTATTTTTAATAGACCTATAGCTTCTGGGAAGGCAGTTTTTATTTAAAATTAAATATGTCGGAGATATAAGCAATCAAAGATAAAATTTATGAAAAAAATTGTTATTTTTCCAAGCTTTGGGGCTCTTGGGGTGCCATTTCCACTTATCCAATTGAACTAAAATTTTACACAGATTATTTTTTTAGTAAAATGAACCATTCTGGGGGGTGCCGTGAACTGATTTTTCGAAAAAAAATTACCTATATACCTTAATGGCACCTAATGTACACATTTGTTTAGTTTGCTTAATTCTGCTTATTTTTTATGTTTGTTTTGCTGATTTTTAATAGGACATGTAAGAATTCAGTTTCTTTATCAGCATAAATCTCTTATATGTATATATTTTATGCTTAAATTTTTAAGAACGTTTTAATTATAATAAATACCATTCTTGACATGTATTTAATTTCTTATGGCTCAAAAGTGCAAACAGAATATCATTTGTTTTTAATTATATGTTGACAAAGTAAAACTCAAGCCTTGCACAATATCAATTTAGCACAAAGAGCTCGAAAGCTCATTTCTTAAAGTTTAAACTAGAATTATATTTTTCATATTTTTTACCTATCCTTTTCACGTCTGCCGCATCAACGAACGCATTGTTCATCTAAAGTGGCCCTTAAACAGCAACGCGAGTTGACAACGCACGAAGTCTTCCCTCGCCATTACACTTTAAATTTACCAACAATTTTTTAAACACGCCTCCAGCAAACAATGCAAAATTTGTTCACTCATCAGTATGTTATTAAAGCAATCGCTGAAGTGTCAACAGCGACTGCTATGCGTAATTTCCTTACAAAAAATAATGTTTTACATTTAATTTATAATTTTAATTTATATATTTATATTTATTTTTATAATTTCAATTTATATCTTTATTTTTATATATATTATATTTTATTTAATTTCATTTTTTTTTTTTTTGTATATTTTAATAACAAATTTTCCGTAAGGTGCATAATGCAATTAATATTTAAAATAAAATATTCATAGTAATTTAATGTTTGGTTATTTATATATTTTTGTTAGCCCAAACTTATTAATATTTTAATTCTTCTTAATAACATGTTTTGGAAATGAAAAAATTTTACCTAGGTAGAAAATACAAATATTTAATATAAAAGATACAATTCATTCATATTTGCAAACCATCGCATGCTAACGATAAATCATGCGTGCATTTAAACGATGTTTACGCTTCCATTTCTCAAAATAAATGAAATTTTGCATGCCGACCAAATCCGACTGTATATGCAAAAACACGAGCGTGTTTGAAGAAATATCAAAATTTTTTGATATTCGTCAACACATTTCTTAAAATTTCAAATGTTACTATCACACAAACAAATTTCGTATTGCACAAAGTAGAAGAAAAGTAGGAGAAAAAATTCTCATGTGAGAGCGATTTTTTAGTATATTTGTTGTTTTATCTGGGGCGTGTTTAAAAAATTGTTGTAAAATTGTTTGTGTAATGACAAGCGCGCGTTGACAACGGGCGATGCTGTCTAAGGGGCCCTTAAGTTAGGTATGGCCACAGACAAATAATATACAGATTGCGAATGCAGAACCAAAAATGACTCCCTTTGATTTCATGGTAGCCAGCTCGAGTAGCCAGCTAAAAGCACAATGAGCTTTGAATTGTAGATCAATTCAAGCAAACAAAAACTGTGTATAACACAATGATCTTAAGTGTTCGAAACATAAAATGATGTAGTGTAATATAGTGTAGAAATTGTTGTTATATTTTCTATTCATATTATTGGTTTGTGTGCTTGTGTGATTTATACGGTGAAGATTTTCTGAGTTGCCTTCTTATGCTTAAGAGATTTGCTGCATCGAGATCAGAGATGTACAGCGAATGGCTCACATTATAGTGCCAACAACAACATTCGCTGCGTTTCTTGAATGTTTGCTTACTTACACCAACACCAACTACACTGCATTAACGATCGTGCTTTTTCAATCGTTAATGCAGTGTAGTGTTGTAGCTCGTACAGTCTATTGTGTTGTACTACATCATGCAACACATTACTGCTCTTCACTATGCAACGAAATATTAGTGTGGTAAACAATATTGTTCCTGTTGATTTCGCTACAAAACATCTTTAAATTGTCTCTTTCACAATTAGTTATGTAAATGACCTACATAATAATCGTTATATTTATTTTGTTTATGTTTTAATTATAAGTGATTATATAAAGGAGTCAGAAATTTTTAAATAAAATTAACAGCGGAGACTTGTATATTCTAAGAAAACCAAACATTAACAGCAAAATTAGGAATATTTTTGGTTTGATTGAAAAAGAGGATGTTTTTATAATTGCAGGAACTGTATTTTGTAATAAATACAATAAAATATTTAAATACAATGGAAAACAATCTATTTCAAGAAAG